TGTCTTTTATATTTTTCTTTTTCGTGTATAAAATATAATATAATAAAAATACATATAAATTTTTTTGTTATGAAAAGTTAGCTGAGAGGAATATGGTTTATAGTACATGTGCGCATATAGGAATATAAAAATTCTTCTTTTTACCATTACGTATATCGTCAAAAATATTAATATAAGTATGTTGTAACAAATATAAAAAAGATATTATTATACTTAGAGTTCTAGAAAACAGTGGACGAAGTACAATATGTTAGTATAATTGTTTCATATATTTTGTAGTTAAAACAAATACTATTTTTTTTAATTATTGAAATAAAATCACAGAATTTAATATCACATATCAATTTTTATACTTGCAAAATATATGAAGTTTATGTTTTAAAAAAATGTCATACAAAAAGTTATGTAACTTATTTCTAAAGTGGAATATGTATATATATATATATATATATATGATTCATAAATTTTTAGCAGCACAAGATGTTTAGACATAAGCCAATCCTAATCTAATTCAAACAGATGATGCCAGAAAATTATGCCGTAGTTGGTCCTAAAAAGAATTATATTACTCAATTAGTTATTGAGTGTAAGACGATGAGAACATCTCAATAATATTATTATTATTAAATTATAATTAAATAAAATCTATTAAAAAATAGATTTATATAATGAACTATTTGTGCTTTTTAGTTAGTATTTACAAAATATTCGTTCTGGCTGCCTCTGATAATAGTTAATTACAAAAAAATAATCTAAAATTGTAATGTTAAACGATAAAAAAGCTATAATACATAATTACATTATATTAATAAATTATTACTCTTTCAGGGAATAAGAAAAATTGAGCATACAAGGATTTAAAAAAAAAAAAAAAAGAAAACTTTCTAAACATCAGCGGTACGTTATGACTTTATAGGGAAATTTAAATTTAGGTGCCCTATCTACAGAGTTGAATTTTTCTTATAAATATGTCACACTTCCAATCTAGAATCGCTGGATATTTTTTTTCTGCTACAAAAATGAGTTTATAGAATATTGATTTAGGAACTTTGGGGTCCCCTACTGATAGGGAAGAGACAGACAATTGTTCTTTTTGCCTATAAGCCATAATGCAATGCTGCTAAAAATATTTTACTTACTGCCATAAACGGTGCCTCGATGACGTCGACGATACCATGGGCAACAACTGCAGCATAAACAAGATATGCAACAAACTATTAATGATACAATAATACCGGCAGCAATAACAACAGGTATGATGATTCCAATCCTAAAACAACAGTAATATATTATAATATTATTATTTTATTTGTATAGAGAGATATATATATTTTTAAAAAGATTTATAATTCATATAAAAATTTCTTATGTTAAATTAATTATAATTTATATTTACCCCATTTTTATAGCAAATTCTTCCTGAGTACAACAGTAATAATATTTATTTGAGAAATCATAGCAGCAATAGGATTTACTTGAATCATCCAATAGCGCTGGACAAGAGGTCATTAATTTTTCAAAGTAACTCTTTTCACTATTAAGCGAACATTCCATTCCTGTAAAAATCAAAATTGATTCTATGTTAGAAAATTAAAACTCTTCAACGAAATCGCATATTTTTCATGTGCATATTATGTTTCGCTGATTAGGTTCGTAAAATTTCTTTCTTATCTACTCTTGTTCTCCTACAAGAAACGCTTATTAAATATGTTAAATGTGATAACAGAAGTGATATTAGAAAAAAAACTATACTACTAGTTCATTTGCAAATTATATTTTCACAAAATCTCTTATTTATTAATAATATATAAAATAAACGAATAGATAGAAAAGAAAATTAGATAAAAATAATTATTGCTAATCGATATTGCAAATTATATTAAATAATAGTTTAGTTAAATACAATTTGGACGGATTTATTATGAAATAATATGAATAATTAATAATAATTAATATGATCTAATTATTACATTAGACATATAGTTATAAAATAAATTATATATATTATGTTTAACTATTATCTTCTGTTAGATTTTTATCAAAAAATCGTTATCAAATTACATATATATTTTTACAGTCAGCTTTTATCATACTAAATATATATTTTATTTCATGAAAATTGTATAGAAATATTTGATGACACATTGTTTATTTTTCGTTATAAAATTTTCTTTAAAAAGAAACGAGTAGCAATAAATTATTTATTTATCTAATGATAATCGTTTAGATTTACTTTTGATATAAATGTAAATTTTCTTTTTTAAATCATATCATTTGTTTATATAAATAAAATATATATATAGGGAATAAATAAAAATAAAATAAATCTTAACAATGGTCAGTTATCACAGAGTTTGTAATTGTACTCTGATAATGTGAGCAAATACATTTTATATTACTTATCGACATATTTAAAATATAATATTATAGTTAATGTGAAATCTATGCACATATTCATATAAACAAATCTGCCTTATGAACGAGACTTATATTTAATAAATATTTCAGATAACATGAATGAGTTTAGTCACGTCTATTGTTCTCAGTTGACTCATAACCTAAGCAAACATTGAAGAATATATTCCAATTTAACATTTACGTACGCAACTCGTAATCGATAAATTATTCCTAACTTTATTCATTCATTATTATCGAATATTATTTATTAGTTCATTAACATTTAAATATGCATGAAAAGATGACGTTCAAATTTCGCGCATTTTCTTTGCATTTTCAAAAATCAACAACTAGATCAAATCAGCAACTATTTCATTGCGATTTAAAGTTAATTATTACAAATAATTATACGATTGAATAGAAATAAAGACAATTATTCTTATAATACAAATTAAATTATGATTAAACGTCATTATTATAAATATAATTGTATATTTTACTATAAAATAATTAATTATTGTACAAAATATAAATTTTTATTTTATCAAAGCGAGTGGAGTTTCCCGTAACCTTAAGGAAGGCACATAGGAATATCAAAGAAAGTTTTAAAGCATGGACGCCTACACATGAACACGATAAGAAATTATTTGAAAAAAACGATCGTTCTTCTGTAAATTTCAATGGATATAAACCAGATAGACAACAGGCAAGTATAATCGAGAAAGAAAGAGCCGGTTGTGCATGGAAAGTGTTCCATGCGCATATGTTTATGTATAGTACATTTATTTTTGTTATTTTTCATTTCGCTAGAATAAAGTTATTAGTCATCACCTAAACGAGAATGGAAGGATGAAATATGGATATCGTTGAATGGATTTATCAAACAAAATTTAAGAAGAAACAATAAAATAAATAAATCTAAGTGATCCGGAGTTTTCAAATACGAGTCCTTTGAAATATGGGTGTATAATAGAAGGGGAAAAAAATTGGATTTGCGGATGAAAGAAAGCAGCGATTGAAAATCGAAGAGTTAACGACGAAGGTGTAATAGTAGTAGTATTATAAGAATAGCATCAATGACGAAGAGTATTTATCGAGTATCGATGTAGGATAGCTGCTGGCCGATACGTTGCTTAAAGTAAACATGCAAGAGAAAAGTAATAATGGATCGACAATGAATTCGCATGAATACGCGAATCAAGCGAGGAAAAAAAGCAACGATGGACTCGTCTGTTGCATATAATGTGCGTCATCGGTAACAAAAAAATTCGACGAAAAATTCAAGATGAAAGGAAACAAAAATATATGAGTGGTTGACAAAAAGTTAAACAATTTGAATCATTGTTGGTTGAATACAATAAAATACGAATGTTGTTTTCTTACCATAAGTAAAGCCGGTGCAGAGACACGAAATGGTCAAAAGTATTATTGCGTACGACATTTTGTTGTTGGTTTTATTTCGTTGCTTTTTGTTTGAATAATTATTCGTTAAAATGCAATTGTACCGATTATTCGAAACAAGTCAAACCAAATTTCGCTTAGGAATAATTGCGTCCTTAGACATACACTTGAAAACCAATATGTGTATACAGCAGCAGCAGGACAAAGAAACTGCTACTATAGATACGAGATGCGAGTTCGACCACCGACTGCAACAAGACAAGGGACAAAACTCGCGCGTTATCTTCAATAACACGCGATATCCGTTTGATATCTCACTTCGGTTGCCACTAACAGCAATGCTGCAACTTGAACCCTATGAGCTTCAAATCTTTTCAATGTAGCTCCTCTCATGGAATTTATTCCAACTAACTTAGATAAGAAATTTATATACATACGTATGTATATATATATATATATATTCTTAATCGATGTCCTAGTAATTATTTATAGAACAATATGCACTTCTGTATGATTACTAAATAATTGTTGCATACAAGAATTTTTAATTGCTATTGTTTTCTTAGTACAACTACAATTGCTTTTATTATTTACTTTCAATTATTTATTAGATGAATTTCATTTCTTTCTAATAAATAATGTATTATTAAATGATTGTTAAGCATTAATTGTTAGTTAATAATTAAATTCATTGATAATTAACAATATCGATACTCTATCGATAAAGAAGATGCACATAGGGATGCACAAATAGACGCGCCTTTTTTAAAATCACGAGAATATGGTAAGATGTAATATTGTTTACGTGTTATATTAAATACATTTGATAGAATTTTAAATGTTTTTTAAATTATAGTTTTTGATGTTACTGAGAGTAATTGAAATTTCTTTTACGATGGTTGTACGATGTCATTTAGAATTCGAGATAATACAAACGCACGCGCCATATTACTCAATCGAAAAAGTAGTTTCGATGGTTGGTGTGTCAGAGTATCAAGGTGACGTGTCCAATATTTTTCACGTTTTTCACATATAATATTGTAAAATGAATGCTTTTAAACGCGACAAAAAAGAAGAAGAAGAAGGTAATCATAAATTATTAATAATTTGAATTGTACAATAATAAATACTTGCATGTAATTTATAACATAATTGCATTTTGCTTTATAGGTTAATTTGACATTTATATGTAAACATCTGCTTATAAATTAATTATAATTAAACAATGAATGTATTTAATGTCTTCGTTTAATTTATTTTAGGAGGTGGAAACCCTTTCCAAAACTTGGAGAAGACAACTGTACTCCAAGAGGCACGCACATTTAACGACACCCCAGTGAATCCAAGAAAATGTGCTCATATTCTTACCAAAATTTTGTACCTGTTGAATCAGGGAGAACAATTAGGTACTACAGAAGCAACGGAAGCATTTTTTGCGATGACCAAATTATTCCAATCTCGAGACGTGGTGTTGAGACGTTTGGTTTATTTGGGTATCAAAGAATTAAGTTCTTTGGCAGAAGATGTGATTATAGTTACGTCCAGTCTTACGAAAGATATGACTGGAAAGGAAGATTTGTATAGAGCTGCAGCAATAAGGGCTTTATGCACTATTACCGATGGTGGTATGTTGGCAGCGATTGAACGTTACATGAAACAAGCAATTGTTGATCGTTCTCCAGCAGTATCCAGTGCTGCATTGGTTTCATCTCTTCATTTGACTAGTGTATCCAGTGATATTGCTAGAAGGTGGGCTTATGAAGCTCAAGAAGCTTTAAATTCAACTAATGTTATGGTACAGTATCATGCTTTAGGTGTTTTATATCAAGCAAGGAAAACAGATAAACTTGCTGTTATCAAATTAGTAGCTAAACTTATGAAAATTAGTCCTAAGAGTCCATATGCGGCTTGTATGTTAATAAGAATGGCATGCAAACTCTTAGAAGATATGGAAGATGGAGAAGATTCGATGCTCGGATTCATCGAATACTGTCTACGCCATAAATCAGAAATGGTTGTTTATGAAGCAGCTCATGCATTGGTTAATTTTGGAAAAAGCGGTCTAAAAGAAATTGGATCTGCTATCAGCGTATTACAATTATTCTGTGGATCTCCTAAACCAGCTCTTAGATTTGCCGCTGTTAGAACTTTGAATAAAGTTGCTATGACTCATCCAGCAGCAGTTACTGCATGCAATTTAGATCTAGAAAATTTGATCACGGATTCCAATAGATCGATCGCTACTCTAGCTATTACGACACTTTTGAAAACTGGAGCAGAAAGTTCTGTGGATCGTTTGATGAAACAGATCGCTACTTTCGTATCGGAAATTTCAGATGAATTTAAAGTTGTTGTCGTACAAGCAATAAGGTAGATTTCATTCTTACATTAACAATATGATCTTTTTATTTATAAATAACATTATTTTTTATTACAGAGCTTTATGCCAAAAATTCCCACGCAAGCATACAGTTTTAATGAATTTCCTTTCCGCAATGCTAAGAGACGAAGGTGGTCTTGAATATAAAGCAGCTATAGCTGACACTATAATAGCTGTTATGGAAGGAAATGCCGAAGCCAAAGAGGCAGGCTTAGCACACTTGTGTGAATTTATAGAAGATTGCGAACACATTTCCTTGGCAGTTCGTATATTGCATCTGCTGGGACAAGAAGGACCAACATCAAAACAACCATCCAGATACATTCGTTTTATTTACAATCGCGTAATTCTTGAAAGTGCAAGCGTACGTGCCGCAGCTGTAACGGCATTGGCACGTTTTGCTGCTGCATGTCCACCGCTTCTTCCAAACGTCCTTGTTCTTTTATCTCGTTGTCAATTAGATTCCGATGACGAAGTTCGCGATCGTGCTGCATATTATTGTACTATTTTACAAGAACAAAACGATCCAACTGTATTACCATTAATACAACCACCACTTTTCTCCGTACCCAGTTTAGAGAGAGCTTTACGGAATTACATGAAAACACCTATGGAAGATCCATTCGATATTTCTCAGGTAAACTTTCTAGAAATTCTTAGATCCTTATTTTATATAATTAATTTAATTAAATGATTATACAGGTACCACCAGCACAAACGATAGAGGAACCAGCACAAGTAGAAATACATACAACTATCAAACCACAACAACCACGTTTGACGAGAGAAGAAAGCTTTATTGAAAAATTATCTCAAATCTCACCAATAGCGAGTATCATTAGAGGATCATCTCTTCTTAAATCTTCAGCTGTATTCGAATTAACCGAATCTGAAACAGAATACAACGTGAAATGTATCAAGCATACGTTCGCCGAACATCTTGTCTTGCAATTCGATTGTATTAATACACTGTCTGATCAATTCTTGGAAGATGTTAAAGTGTCCATCGAAGCAACCGAATAGTAAGATTGATTTATTATTCGAATAACTTTTTACGAAATATATATTAATGATATTACGTACTTTTAGTTACACCGTTCTATGCGAAGTACCCTGTCCACGTTTGTCTTATAACGAACCAGGCACAACATACACAGTATTAGCTTATCCAGAAGATGTTCACGCAAGTGTTGCGACCATGCCAACAACTCTTCGTTTTATGGCACGCGATTGCGATCCTACAACAGGTGTTCCGGATACTGATCAGGGTTATTGCGATGAATACATGGTATTACAATCATTAATTTTAGAATACTGATCTTATACAAATTATATTTCTAATTTCATGTCAAATATTTTAGCTGGAAGATTTGGAAATTACCATAGCCGATCAAATCCGAGGTGTAGGAAGTAGGGGAGTAGATTTCGGTGCACTCTGGGATGCGTCTGCTGCTAAAGGCTATGCTAAATTGGAAGAAACATTTGTTTTAGGCGATACAGTAACGAGTTTAGAAGGAGCTATACAAAGTCTTACAGGATTTTTAGGATTAGAAGCAGTAGAACGTAGCGATAGGGTACATCCAGGTTCCGCGTCGCATAATCTATTGTTAAGTGGTGTTTTCAGAGGTGGTAAGGAAGTACTTGCACGTGCAAGACTAGCATTATCAGATAATCAAGTAACGATGCAATTGACGGTTCTATGTCCAGATCCGGATGTTGCTGAATTAATTGTTTCCTCGGTAGGATAAATATAAGCGTAATGTTTCTAGCAAATAATCTAATACGTATATGTATATTAATTTGTTGCAAAGTGATTTTTCTAATTGAAAACAAAAATGATGATTCAATAGCAAACGATAAATATTCCATCACATTGTTTCATTTTATATATGTATAACAATATTTTATAAGGTAATGATTAATAGCAATGAACGCATTCTTATTCATTTTTCAACATTGTATGTATTAATAGAATGTGTTATATCTAATGATCCCATTGCATTTAGGAAATTAGAAAGAAATTATCGATAGAATAAAGATATGATTTGTAATTACATGAAACTTAATGATTTTAATTAATTTTATGTGTATGTACGAGGACGTAAATTTCTTTTTAAAAAATCTTAACTAATATAATAAATGTATTCAATATTCTTTTGGTTGTTGAGACAAGAACTGAAAAACAAAAAATAATCTATTTTTTGTATGCAATAATATATAGTATAGTCTTTTTTTACACGCACAAAAAGTTGATGGTTATGCTATTTAAAATAAGCTGTAAGCCCTGACTGATTAACATCTTTTTATTCGCTTTATTTTTTATGTATATCTTCTATAGAAAGATTACGCAACTGTTGCGATATAATAATAATAGAATATAATAGAAGTTAATGCGCTAAGTCTGTTATTAAACAGTGATCTACCTTTATCTTAACTAGCGTCGGTAACAGTAATTAAGTAGTTTTCTACTTTGAAAAATATGCCAACGTTTTTGTGCTTTTCCTTTTTTAAAATCATCGGTCTCACAAATAATATTATTTATTTTGCGTGCTTCTTTTTACTATCTATTTGCCAAAAGTTAATAACAAAGTATGTATTTATATTTGTTATAGATTGTTTGTTTATAATCTAATATGTAATAGGAATTCTTCTTTGCATTACCAACCGATATAAAAACTCTGATTTCTATTGCCAGTAGAGAGCGCGTCGATTCGATAGGTCAGATTTTTCAAATATATATAGTTGACCACCATAAAAACAAACAACACACACACGTACTAAAATCTGAACTCCCGAACACCACCGCTGCCTTCGTGGAGAATTATTGTACCCGATGTTTCCTCATTTTCAACGACACAAATTCGATGAGAACGCGTATCGCGTTCATTCTCCTGGTATATAAGCTTCGTGCACATTGCATAGCTTCCTCTTTAAAATGGCGGCTGTACTGGAAGAAGTCGGCAAATCTGCCGAAAAATTAATAGACGAGGAAAAGGATGAAATTATAAACCAAGAGGACGAAACTGGAGCATCGGAAGCATCGAAAAAGAAGAAAAAGAAGAAGAAGAAGAAGAAGGCCGGTACGTTAGATTAATAATTTTCTTTTGGGTGTGTTCGCTTCGTTTAACCACTCGTACTTCTAACAAGGTGCTGTTTCCACAGTGTAATTTTTTTTTTATTTACCTCACTTTCTATAATTTTAAATAATATTTCTTCTTTTCTGAATTATAACAATCTTCATTTATTATTTAAACAAGACAGATTATTCTATATTTGCATTAATTCATTGTGATATTTTTTATTTAACAAATTTCTAATATTATTTCATAAACTTGTAGTTAACATGTGGAACGAATTTTCATAATTAATACATGAGCATTATTTATTTCCGCCTAATGCATTTAATTTATTTTTATAATTACAGTTTATGATCAATCATTTATTTTATGAGTGTAATTTTTAATATTAATAACATTTATGTCTTTTACGTAGGTGCTGGAGAAGCGAGTGCTGATGTACCTGAAGGTGATGACAAAGTAAAGGAAGATGATCAAACAAAAAATGGTGATGCAGCGGTTGAAGGTATTAATTTTTTTTTCAGTTAGATTATGAACAATAAAAATTCTACCATGAGAAAAATCCATTTAATAAACTAATTCTCTTTTATTCTGAATAAAGGATCAACAGAGGCCAATGATAATGAAGCTGAAACCGGAGCGGAAAATGAAGATGCTAAGAAAAAGAAGAAGAAACGTAAATCACGCAATAAGGCTGGTGGAATTAAACAGACTGAACGACCTTCGATTGCAGTCTCGGAATTATTCCCTGATGGAAACTTTCCGATTGGAGAAATAATGGATTATCCTCCTGCTGCTGGGATTGATGAGAGAACTGCTAAGAACCGTTTTACGAGCGAAGAAGCACGTGCTTTAGATAGAATGCATAGCGACATTTATAACGAAGCTAGACAGGCTGCTGAAGCACATAGACAAACAAGAAAACATATTATGCAATGGGTATAAATATTTTTATGAACGATATAATACAACTATATTGGCTAGAAAATCATTTTAAAATAGCTAATAGGTTGATATATTATTTAATATTTAATGAAAGTTTTCTCTAATATTTAAATTATTTTCTATACAGGTAAAATCAGGAATGACCATGATAGAAATTTGTAACGAATTGGAAGATACAGCTAGAAAATTAATTGGAGAAGACGGATTGAAAGCAGGATTAGCATTTCCAACCGGTTGTTCAAGAAATCATTGTGCTGCTCATTATACTCCTAATGCTGGAGATCCAACTGTTTTGGAGTACGATGATGTCACTAAAATTGATTTCGGAACACACATCAATGGACGTATCATTGATTGTGCATTTACATTAGCATTTAATCCTAAGTATGATAGACTTATTGAAGCAGTACGGGATGCCACTAACACTGGAATCAAAGCTGCTGGTATTGATGTTCAGCTTTGCGATGTCGGTGCTGCTATTCAAGAAGTTATGGAATCGTACGAAGTTGAAATTGATGGGAAAACTTATCAAGTATGTAAATTAGACAAGATTTTGTATTCTATGTATGAATATAAATTTTATATGAATTATGTTTGCTTTGTTTCTAAGGTTAAATCGATCAGAAATTTGAATGGACATTCAATCGCACCATATCGAATACACGCTGGAAAAACGGTACCAATAGTTAAAGGTGGTGAAGCCACGAGAATGGAAGAAAATGAATTTTATGCCATTGAAACATTTGGATCTACTGGAAGAGGTGTTGTCCACGATGATTTGGAGTGTTCCCATTATATGAAGAGTTTTGATACCGGATATGTCCCGCTCAGATTACAGAGCAGTAAATTTCTACTTAACGTTATCAACAAGCATTTTGGTAATTAACGAAATTATTATAAAACACATATCCATGTTTTTAAGACAAATAATTATAATAGAATTATATTGTGTTTTTCTTTTAGGTACTTTGGCATTTTGTAAACGTTGGTTAGATCGCGTTGGTTGTACCAAATATCAAATGGCGTTAAAAGATTTGTGTGACAAAGGTGCAGTTGAAGCTTATCCACCGCTAGTCGATGTCAAAGGATGTTACACTGCACAATTTGAACATACACTTGTTTTACGTCCTACTTGCAAGGAAGTCATTTCTCGAGGAGATGATTATTAAACAAAAAATAACAAAATCATTATCACTTGTACGATTTCCCAGAGAGGGGGGCACTTATTGTTAGTTTAATCATTGTAAAGTTAATTCATCGATGTAAAATTAGCATTGGAAGAGTGCTTAAATCATTGCAAGTAAACGTTCGTCAAGTATTTTGTTACCATATTGTTAGTATTCTTGTTTTTTTAAACATTTTTTTTTGCCCTTCAGAATAATTGTAATGGAGTCACGATATTGTAAAAAACAAGAAATGGTATAAAAAAAAAAAGAACAAGTACCCTTTATATTTAATGTGGGAGTTTAAACGTTTGTTCTATAATATTGTCGATAATGTTTTTTTTGCATTCTGTTCGTTCTTTCTTTTTTATTTAAAAAAAACGAATACGTACCTGAAAATAAATTATGTCGATCGAGATCATTTTTCTGTTGTTACCGAATCGGATATATTGGAGATATATTTTTAATCGTTACGTATTTGTCGTAATAGTTTTGAGTATTTCATTTTATTGTTGATTCTATCTTCTATAAAATATTAATCGGAAATGACAGGAATATTTTAGAGATTACCTATGTGTGAAATAAAATATATATATATTTGAAATTTTAATTGTACCACTGTGATAATAATAATCGTCACGTACTTTATATATATATTGTAATTAATTTGACTCGATAAATAAAACAAATTTTAGTGCAGAATACGCGTGGCAGTGATACAAAGAACGATTTCGTTATAATATATAATATATATTTCAAGAGAATTGTACAGGATTTCCGAGATGTGTGTATTCGACCAAACGGTGTCCAGAGTATCCTATGCAGGAAAATAAAAAGAAAAATGTTAATAAACATAGGTACATTTGTTTATTATTTTTGTGCACAGAATACACGCTAACACCGTTTCGTCAGAACAATTTCGGACACTCTGTATATACAATTCAACGATAATTCAGATCAATGAGATGATATAAGTGCATCAAATAGATATACTATTATATATTTTCATATTTTTTAATATCTGCTATATATATATATATATAGTTTGAAAACATATTAGAATATATATGCAAGCCTTGATCTCGTCCATTGTTCCTTCAGTCTTGAAACGTTTGCATCAGTAACCACATGCTCCTACTTATTAATTAACTATTACTACAATGAAACAATATGATACAGTACAGATATAGATTTTTTCTCCTTCTACAATATTTTATAATAATATATCGGGCATTGCTAACTCTTTATTTTAAGGCCTTCTTCAATCATGCAATCTTGCTTTATGTGTATGGTCCCAAGATATTCTCATTCTAATATTCTTTTTATCTTCATAATTATTTCATATTTAATTAACCAAGGTGTTGGTTTGAATAGAAACCAAAGGAAAAAAAAAATAGTCGACAGTAGTTTTTTGTTAACAAGTCAAGTAAATTCCACGGATAGTTTAGACTTTTTTTTTTCTTTCATGGTTTATGATTATTATCGAGTGAAAGTATGTCCTGACTAACAATAACGAGTACATGTAGAGGCACGGAAGAATCTCTCACCATGATGCAGAGACGATCATTAGAAATAAATTCGTCTTTGTCTGTTGAACACGAATCTACATCATCATCATTATTATCATCATCATTATTATCATCATCATTATAATCAGAATCATAATACTTCCACATTTAAGCAGTAAACAACTTGTACGGGTTATTAACATCAACTTTGAAATAGTCGATATAACGATTCGTATTTTTTGATCATTAAACTATCTATTCATGAATGTTTACTACGAATCGTACTCCTCATAAAAATAGTTTATAACTTATTTCTATCTTTCTTCTTTATATTATTATAAATGCAAACAAGAAAGATAGATTAAACAATTAGTTATTTTCCATTTGGAACATAAATACACGCGTATGCCTTAGTTTTCTTCTTATTTTTTCGTTAACTATGACTATAAGGAGTGCGAGTTTATGGTCCTGCTTTTCTAAACAAAAAAAATCATTCTCATGTACGAATATATGTACGTGTGTGTGTGTGAGTGTATATATATGCATGTAAGTTTTATGTATATCTATATACACAGAGATTACGTTCTAAAAAAGTGACCATCCGATATTAAAATTCGTTATAACGAAAACGTAATAATTATTATCGTTTGTTTGTTTGTTTGTGAAAATTAGTTAGTTAAATTCACGTTTAGCACTCGATCCAATGTCCACACGTTTAATTCTAATTCATTGCGAATCTGTACGCGTTCTTAATTTCGCTCTCGCTGTTATCAAAAGATTATTTGGTGGTTCGATCATCGGTTGCGATTTCTCTTGCTGAAATAATAAAATAGAATAAAATAGTGTGCGTTAAGAGATGACGATAATTTAGAGATTTTTCGATTAAATCTATTAGAAATGAAAACGATCGACAACATTTTTGTAAAGCAAATTTTTATCGAAGTACGGAAGGAAATTTCGCAAAAGAAAAAAAAAAAAAGAAAATAACACTCACCATTATTTGAATGTTTTTAGCTCTTTGTTCTATCGCCCTTTGCAATGCTGTCCTCGGATCGTCTTTAAATGTTTCCTCGCGATTTCTTTCAGCTTCTTTTCTCGATGCATTCTCTCTCTGTTTTTCCAAAGCTCTTTGTAACTCGCTTTTTTGATTTAACACGTTTCTACCTCTGCAATTAAAACGAATCAAACATCTTAACTTGGTATATAAATAAAAAAAACAAAATAAAAATTTCAACAATAGAGTACTTACATTTTCTGATTAAAAAGTAACTCTCTACGCAAATCTTTATGATTGTTAGACGTTAGACAAGGGTTGTAAGGTTTCCTAGGTAAAATTAGGCCGTCAGGTCCCATATGAGGTGCAGGTGGTGGTGGTGGTGGGACACCCAAAACTGGTGCCATTTTTTTTCCTAAGAACAATATGATTTTGTAAAATCAAATCGACAATTATTAAATAATAATCATCGTTTATTCGATAATATATATATATATATATATATTAATGGTAATTTGAATGCGATCAGTTATCAAAGAAATTTTCTGTTATAAGCGAGAGATACAACAAATTTAAGACGATTCTATTTTTCTTGCCCCTTTTTTTTTTGGTTCCCTTCAAGCCAGACAATAATTTAAATATTCACCCTCGAAGGATGCAATTCTTGCCCTAACTGAACCCTCGTCGGACATCGCGGTATATCGCGCACTGAACCATTTCCGGACGAACCGTATCAAAGAGTGTGCTTGCTTTTCTATATAGTTTTGTTTAGGGCTTCGCATAGTCGCTAATCGGTTTAAAGTTTGAACGAGTCTACCTAGAGAACTCTACTTACTCTATCTATGTATCGAATGATGTACGTAAGAGTAATATTTATTTCAAGATAAATTACAACTTTTATTTTATTATATATATATCAATTAATTTTTAACAAATATTTTCGAAACATTAAAATGTTTCCTATCACAAATTGCATTTGACTAACGATAAGTATTTTATTACCACGTTACTTAAAACAGACACATACGTGGTAGGAAATGTTTTAATTTATAAGTATAAATTAAATAGAAATTAATAAAAGAACAATGTGTAAAATTGGTAAAAAAAAAAACTTTAGAAAAGCAGCAAACATTATTGGAAAACAAAATTCATTAGAGATTTTATATAAAGGAAATAATTGATGTATTTAATAATACGTGGATAGAAATTTGTATTCCATCATCGGATTATCGTATTAAAACTAATGGGGGTCGACCTTTTTAAAACTTGTCATGATCGAAGAGAGATGGTCGGACACTTTGGTAATAAGAAAGACAAGTCACTCTCTTTTTTTTCTTTTCTCTCTCTCTCACACACTTTTGGTAAAAGCAAGCAAGTAGTGCGACAGTGCATCGAGGATGCATTTCGACGTTGTATGCATTCTACGGTAGCTTGTTAGACGTACGACTCTCTTGTTTCGATGGTTGTTCTTCTGTTTCAACTGAGACGGCTCGTTATACTCATAGGTATGTACCATATATATATATATATATATCTGACCGAGTATTTCCCGTGTAACAAAAAAAAGAAAACCCTTTTCTCTCGGTGAGAATGAAAACGCAGGGTGCATTCAAAAAAATATTCACTATTCCCCCACACATTTATACATCTATCTCTATCTATGATTTTTATACGTGTGTGTACGTTTTCCACAGATTGCCTACTTGTTGTGTCGTCTCATTTTTTTCTCTCTTTTTTTTTTTTTATAAAACGTATTGCGTAATAACAATCAAAGAATTTATTTACAATGAGTAAGATGCATTTAAAAAATAGAAATATTAATAATAATAATAATAATTATTAGAGAATATTTATTAGAAATGATCGAGATAAAATGTATTCGGATCATTTGCCATTCGATAGAATTATAAAATAAAAATCCAACAGCAATCGCGAAATTTCTCACTTTCTTTTCATTTTTACTTCGTCAAACTACTACGGGAAGCGAATCCGATTCGGATAATTTGATTTTACGAGCGGGGAAAGAGAAAAAAAAAAGCATTTCACGAACTAAAAGTCGACCACGTGTGACGGACGATATTAGTCGTGCAAAGTAATCCTTTCTTTTTTCTTTTTCCTATCTTCGGTTGCAGAATAATAGGAAGGTTGAAAAGTTTTGAGCCGATCACAAGAGGCAGGCTGAAAAGTTCTGAGCCTGCAAATTTAGATCGTTTCTTTGAAAAGTTCGCGTCCAAATTTTGTATACTTACAGTTAACGAATTTTAATGATTTTTATATTAAATTAAACTACATTCTTTTTTTTTTACGCGTAGAATAGTTTGACGAGTTAAAAATTTGTCATGTAGAGTGTAGAAAATGTAAGAGAATGCACTGTTGGAAAATGCACATTTCTGTTATTTCTTTGAATAGTTTTTGCATAAAGATTTTTTTATATTTAGAGTGTTGGAATGAAATTGATGCTCTTATATCAAATAAAAATACATTCTTTATTCTACGTATATAACGAATCGTCAAAATGTTTAAATGAAACTTTTAAAAGTTACAAATTGTTCCGAAATAAATAAAAAAGAAATGGGTGCGCGAGTTGGATATTGCATAATTTTTTTTCTATCGAAAGTGAAATCACACCGATGCAAAGGTAACAATCAATCTAATTCGTTCAGCGACTTTCTCGCCTGTCCCTGCGTTTTGTAAACACCTTATCGACGATAAATCATCGAAACTTTCTAATTACAATTCGTTCCCTGTGAAAACGATATAGACATTTTTTTTTTCTTTTTTTTTTTTTATCGTCTACCATATTTTTTTTCTTCCCTTCTTTTATTTTATCCGATTACAGGATGTGTAAGAAAAAAAATAATAAATAATCATCTCACTTTTTAATCCGGACGCAAAATATAAAAAAAAAATCCCCATGTTTTATTTAATATAAATTTCGTTGAAAAATGAAAAAGAAGCATAAAAATATGTTAGTGGCATTCACAAACCACAGACGAATTCTCGATGAAATGATAGTTGCTATACCGAAAGAGAGGCTTATGTTCATTAATATAAAATGATAGAGAAGGAAAGAGAGAGAGAGAGAGAGGGGGGAAGGGAAGGGGAAGAGGAAGAGGGATAGAATGAAGGTCCGGCAACGAATAAGCCAAACGAATTGTCGTGGTGAGAGGGAAAGGGCTGGGAGATAAAAGTAATTTTCAGGCAGATGTGTACGGGTACGAAGAAAGGGAGAGAGAGAGAGAAAGAGAGAGATCATTGCACCGTAAGGAGCAGCTGAAGTAGCGTGAGAAAATTCGTACCAGTAACGTCTGCTTTAAATGATAGGAGGGAGGGAGTTAAGGGCACGTTTAAGGGACAATTGTCTACTAATTTCGCCATAAAAATCAATCATATTTCATGTGAAAAATAAAAAAAAATCTAATCTCTAATTAAATTATTATAACGAGTTCATTTAGAATATATGATTTTATATTGAATTTATTCAATCGATTATAATTTCTAGTAATTTTTTTCAATGAATGTTCTACTTTACCGACAGAGTTCGATGTCAGAATTAATTTCATTGATATCTATACGAATCAGCTGATTTTAACGTATTCGATAATCAATGAATTCGATGAATGAATTTTAAACGCGTTCGGTTATGTAGGTCAAAGAGTTGAAAAATAGAAAAGAAATATGATTTTTAATAAAAAATCTAAGATTGTGTATACATATATGTATATATATACAGAGTGTCCCACATAACTTTAGTCACGATTTTTTAAATATTTGCGATAACCTGACAAAAAAATACTTTAAACAAAAGTTGATATGTTTTTGTAAGTGGACAAATGCTTTTTAAAACAAACAACTTACTTATGTGTATAATTTATACAGAATTATTTTTTAAATCAATATTAAAAGAAGGAAGGGAAAATATTATAGAGGGGTTATAGATCATTTTGATTCCAGGCTGATGACACAGGATTTACTCGTCTAACCCGACTAAATGGATCACCCTTTTGTCGTTGATTATAATTCATTAGGATGACATGGGATGGAAATAGCGATCAAGACGTTGTTGTGAGATCAAGAAGAATAAAAAGAATTAAAAATAATATAACGAGTGGATAGGATGAAGATCATAAAAGAAATTTCAAAACGACTGACTCACCGTTCGTCAAAACTTCGCAGCTGTCCGAGGATTCGTTTTTTAAACCGTTAGCAATCACCTGAAACGAATGAACAATTTAATATTAACAATTTTAATTGAAAGATAGTAGATATTAATATTATTATACAAATATTTTACAATTTTATTATTATTATTATTATTATTATTAGATAGGTGGAATTGCATAGATTGCATTGATTGTAATTGGATTGTATTTTCTAAGATCTAAACGAGCACAACCGGTTTGACCCATTCGAGATAAGGAAAATCATTCCGGTATATATGCATCGAAGTATTTTTAATGATTTTATTTTTTAATATTATAGTCATGCATATAATAAATAAGCACAGGCAGTGAGTGTGTTCCTATCTCCTTTTAATAGTCAACGCAGAAACTTTCGGACGATTGTGCAATCCTTCGATTTCAATTTTATATTCCGAATATCTTTCGAAATCGATGGAGATAAAATTTTCTCTTTTTTTTTATTATTTTACGATGGAGGATTGAACAAGCCTGCTAACGAACTAACGTCAGACGATGATTTCACTCGTTTTATTTTCCTGAAACGAATCACATTCGTTGAAAAACGAAAGGACATGATAGGAAGAACGACTGATTGTAAAGTGAATTAATAGATAAGATAATTAGATAATTCCTGTAGTTTATCTATCATGATCAATTCATTGAATTACTAAACGCGTTAAATCGCGTTGCTTCTAAATTTAAAACACTTGACAGATTAACACGGTGTGCTTTGAAAATGAGTGAAACGAAATGAAAATAAATCAATTAGGAGAAGTAGGGAGGAAGGAAAGGGGGAAGGGAGTGGGGAAGGAATATCCGGAGGACAAAAAAATAAAGTGTACGGAATATTTTCTACTTCCTTCCTAAACTAGAACTCGTTCTTTTTCTCTCCCCCGTTTTATTTAACCGAATTCATTAGTACTTGTTTGCTTGACGCGTACGTAAACACGAAAGAGGGACGAGACAAAGTTTTGGGGGGGGATCTCTCGAAACCCCATACCATACGAGTGATATGTTGTATACGAAAAGGGTTGTAACGTAATGTCGACTTATTTCAAACGTTTCGCGCTTGGTGTATTCGAAGAGCGAGTTTAACGTGCATTCTCGAAAAGGAAGAAAAAACTTATCGTTTGGTGATGGTCACGGTGCAGAAACTTTATAGTAGTACAGTAGCGTGTTCGCATAAAGAGAGAGAATCCTTTCGATGCTCATCATCATCATCATCATCATCATCATCATCATCATAATCATCTTTTGCACGCTTTGGAAATTCATCTTTTATATTCCTACTGTTTCGAATAAATTTCACCATCAATTTTTAACCCGATCTCAAAGAGGAAAACTTCTAAACGCATGAAGTTCAAATGACACGACGAGAATATATATATATATATATATATATATAATAATTATAATATATCGGTAATTTTTCTCGCGTATGTGGATAAAATAATAAATCGTTTAATTGTTATCGGCAAGTGTATATGATTTTTCTTATTAGTTATTTTCACTTCATAAAATTTCATATTCGAAACGAAACGAAATAATTGCAAATTTTCTTTCCGTTTTTCGAAAGGACACGTGCTGTCCTCTTACTCTGTTTCTCTTTTTCTTTTTCTTTTTTTCTACGCTTAATCACATTTCATCGTTCGTCAGAAAGGAAAAAGAAACGGATTTTCATGGAAGCATGAACGAGTTAACGCGCGAGTGCCAGGCGTATCTCTTACGAACTCGTTACCAGCACGAGAAAAACCTTTGTGCACATTCACGAAGAACGATGTACCTTTTTTTTTTTTTTATTCTTTCTTCTCTCTCTCTCTCTCTCTCTTTATCTATCTCTCATTTTCTTTATCTCACTCAGTCAGTTTCGTGCGTCAACAAAAGATCGTACAAAAGGTGTCCTACAGAGTAACGTGCTGCTACTGCTACTTGCATAATGACACCAGACGTAATACTCTGTTTTTTTTTCTCTTTTTCTTTTCCTTTTTTTTTTTCGTGCACATGTGTTCTGATTTTTTCCTTTTGCAATGCACTCTAAAGTAGATGGCGTTTCTATGAATCTATTCTTCTTCTTCATTTTTTTCTTCTTCTAAAAATTTTCATAAATATGCATCATCTTAATGCGAAAATGAAAAAAAAAAAAAAAACAATCGACATCGAACCAATTTCGTAGAGTTCTCATCGATCTTTGAAAATAAAAAAAAAAGGCCCCACCCCTCCCCTTCCGCGTATCGGGATAGATAGGTTTTTTTTCTTCGAAAGAAGATTTTTGTTTTCGAACTCGACGTAGTAAAATCAAAAGGAGATAAAAGAGAGAAAAAACGGCGGGAAATTCATGCACAGAGGATGCACACTCGTCGTGCACCACCCAAAGCGCATGCACGAAAATCCACTCTGTTTATACGCTCAACCAAATGCAGCGACCGTTTCTTTTTTTTCTTTTTTTTTTTTGAAACTATGAATGCAACGCGAGAATAACTGTCTAACTATGGATAACCAATACACTCACACACACAGAAAGAAACAAATAAATATGTGTAGGCGTATACGCGTGCGTTGAAAGAAAGGAAAGCAAATTATATTCCATCCCTAACCCTTCTCTTTCTTTTCAATCCCACCCCCACCTTCCCAATCCCAATCCACACCTTTCTTTCACTTTATTCTTCCCCAATTTTTCTTCTTTTTCTTTTCTTTTCTTTTCTTTTTTTATATAACCCGATCGATACGGACACGTTTATGCTTCGTTGCACCCTCTTGACACGGATATGAAAATCTTTGAGACGATCGAGCAATCAAACTTTCCACAGCACGTACTATACCACCCTGCTTTTCTGCTTTCAAAGATCCCTCCTTTCTTTTTGAAAATATTTTTTTTCTTCAATGTCAACGCCGTACTGTAAAAGTATTTTTTTTATTACAAATTTTATTCTATATATCATATGACTATAATAAATTAATTAAAATATTATTTTTCTTCAAGCAAAAGCGCATATTTTATATATTAATATTTTTTAAAATAAATTAACACAATAAACCCACGAACTTTTGATTCATTCTAATATTTTGTTTTACGAATAATTCGTTGTGTTGAAATATTATTATTAATACAAACGTAGTGATTTTTACAAACAAAAAAGTTGCCTCCCCTTAGTCCTCCCTATTTTATTTATTTGATTTTTCGAATCGTTAGATCGCGTGGCCGAAGATTTAAGTCGAATATTCAGTCTCGTGAATAATTTGGTGATTTTTAAAAGGCGTCGGGGCATAGGGAAAATAAAAAAAAAAACAACTACGTCTAGTGGCCGGAAGACTATCGCATTACTCGAGGGGTATACACTCTCCGAGTTTTTTTCTTTTTTTTTTTTTTAAAGGGCATAGCTTAAGACCGAAAAGGTATACAACCTTATTCTCCCCCGTTGGGTGATCGCGAATTTAAACATAAAAAAAAA